GTCACAGTGAATATATATGGCACCTAGACAGGCTGTGTCTGATCTGTGGTCATGTTGTTTGAGAAAGCCCTGGGGGAACCTGTGCAGACATCAGTAAAGATGGAGAGGCAGGATGAATCATGTGGAGAGAGTCCTCACCCAGTCCAGATGAACAACTAGTTTAAACTCCCCCGGGCTCAGTATAAACCATGTTGCCCCCTTGACCAACATTCCCCCATATGTAAAATGTGAGGCTTTAAATATATGACTCATTCCACTTGGTAGTGTGTAAATGTGTGTGTTGCAATGTGGTTTGGGAATAAACGTTTCCACAGTCAAGGATCAGAAAGGTGAGTTGGAGTTCAGGGACACCTTCATTTGGAGAATGCATTGCTTAAGTGGTGATAGGAGGGAGAGATAGAAGGTAAGAAGATAGGAGGATGGGGGGCAGGATCTTGGGTCATGTCCTAGGTGCTAAGGGGAACACACATCAGGGAGTTAAGGAAGGAGCTATATGAAAGTTTCCATTGGTGCATTCCTGATTGGTCATTGTAGGCATCTCTGAGTGACGCCCTTTCTTCTGGGTGCCACTTACTTCCAGCAGAATGAATGGGTTTTGGCTTCATACAGCACTGGTTTGGCTCCTACAGGATAGATGACTCACTTGGAAGCCAATGGCTTTAGCTTTCTCACACCCTGCTACCTTTCCCAGTGAAGGAGTACGGCAAATTTGACACACAAAGGCTCCTTGAGAGAGAAAAGATCTCAGGTCCCTGGCATGCAGTCCTTGCTCCCTGTCCTCCTGCACAACCCCAGACGTCTTCACCAGTTCCTCCCTGAAGTCTGGGCCATGGACACTGGCTCATGGGCCCCTTCCTTCCTCCCCACTGGCCTCCTTGCTTTGATGATAGAACACTAGGTCTTTCTATCCCTTTGGGGCTACTTTCTAAAAGTGTTTGTTCATTAATATGTGAAGTAGTTTCTTGGGGGAATTGTTATCATCACAATAGGCTATAGACACAGATGGGGCCAGACGTGGCTATTGTGTGGAAAATCAATCCTGAACTCACTGCTAAGCTGGGTCAGAAAGCCCTTGCTAGCATATTCCTTCCTCTGAGGGGGGACTTATTCCAGTGAAGGCAGAAATCAGTGCCTGCCACGGTGAGACTGATGAAGGGTGACATGTTCCTGCATCCAGGCAGAGGACGTTAAAGCTACTACCAGTATTAGGCTTTGAGTTGGACAGTTGGCTCAGAGGCACATAGATTTGTACTCTATATAGGGTATGACTCATTTGAGATACTTGGTGGTAAATTTTGGTGAATGGACAAATAGCCTTCTTTCAGGCTGCCTGCTGAGAAGTCAGAGGTGCGGTGGACGGCAGTACGTAAAGGTCAGTGAAGATGCCCGCGAGTACCTTGAAGAAGATAGACAGGGAGAGTGGGCTGTGGCCACTCTGTGGAAATGGCTAGACTAAGCCTGCAGATGGGTGTGTGTCTGGGAGCTTAGAGTGTGGATGGATGGCTGTTCATCTTCTCAAAGGCACAGTGTGGGCAGGAAGCAGGGGAATAAACAGCAAAGCAGAGTACAGATGTGGCCTTGTGACTTCACTTCATACATGGGGCCTGCACTTGGGAAATGGGGTGCTAGCTACAGCAGGAAATCCTGTACCACTCACTTTAAAATAACACTAATGGATGATAGGAAATGGACTTATCTGACATTTACATGTATCCATTTAATGTTTGTCTCTGATAACTCATGATATAATGGTGTGGTGGTTTGAACGAGTGTCCCTCGTAGGCTCCAAGTATTTGGATACTTGATCCTCAGCTCATGTCACTGTTTAGGGAGGGTCACGGAACTTACAGGAGTGTGGCCATGCTGGAGAAAACAAGTCACTGGGGGCAGGCTTTGAGAGCTCTTAATCCTTGCCAGGTCTCCAGTTTTTCTCTGCTCTCTGCACGTTTGAAGACGTGAGTACCCAGCTTTCTGCCCTGGCCCCTCCAGCCACCCCGCCTCCCCACCATAGTGGACTCTTATCCCTCTGGAATTATAAGCTACATACACTCTTCATTCTGTAAATTGCCTTGGTCATGGCGTTTTATCACAGCAACAGAAAAGTAACTAATATAATTAATACAAAAAGTAACTAACACTAATACAAAGTAACAGTGTAACTGAACTATTTGTCCTGTTACTCAACTTTATCGTCTCTTCCCTCCTATATGAAAACTCATACAATATTGGGGTATTTGGTAGAGGGTCCTAAGGTACAAAACTTTTATGAGACCTTCCTAAGATCACACATTATCCTGGGGCTACACATGGAGTCACTTTAATAACTCTTAGCTCTGCAAAGAGCTGGTAACAGATGACTCTTGGGTCAGGTTCAGACTGGTTTCTGTGTTTGTCTTACTTTGTAACTTGCTTCCTCATCCTCCCTATATATCCCAGTTAGATTTCTAGATCCAAAGCCTCTCAGGCTACCCATATTGCATTATTCCAAAGAAAGAGAATATATGAAATAGGAATTTGAAAATAAAGTGATGAAATAACTTTTAGAAGAGCTGAGGGTGGGGCAGTGGGTGCTGTGGTTTCTAGGAATCAACAACTGCTGGTGATGTGGCCAGCCTGAGCCTGGAGCGACGTTGAAAGGAGAAACAGTGGGCATTAGGGGAGCTCAGTGAAGGATATGGATTTTGGTACCTATGTATTTGTAGAACTTCGTAAGCTCGTTCCTCCTCAAAATTGATCTTCCACTTCAGAACTTAGCTCTGAGCACTGACAGTAAGCAGGAGTTGTGATGCAGTTGGGGGTTGGCACCTAGCGTGCTGCGTGCGTGCAGCATACAGTGAGGGCTAACTGGATGGACAGGCAGCTGTGTACTCCTCATTCATAGCAGCCCCAGTCACACTGCAGGAAGGACATCATCTTAGAAGCATTGTTTTCCTTGTTTTTGAATTATACTTTTATTTATGCTTTGAGAAATTCATACTTGTATCCGGGAGTGGTGGTACATGCCTCAGGAGGCAGAGGCAGGCAGATCTCTGTGAGTTCAAGGGCAGCCTGGTCTACATAGCAAGTTCCAGGCCAATTGGGGCTATAGGGAAACCCTGTCTCAAAAAGAACGAAAAAAAATTCATAGTTGTATATATAATGTATCTTGATCATATCTGCCTCTGTAGCCCCAGCTGCTCTAGAACTGGCTACGGAGACCCAGATGGCCTTGATCTCACAGATCTCCCCTGCCTTCACCTCCCAAGTGCTGGGACTAGAGGCCACTTTGCCCAGCTTGCTCCCTTCTTTTAATAACTCCGAGTCTAGTTACTGCTGCTTGTATGCATGTGGGATGGCACCATCCACTGACCTGCCAGCGAGAAACTTCTTTGCAGTGCGCAGTGGATAATGTGCTCATAACTGTTCAAAGTGCTGAGAATAAGTGACTAAGTTCTCAGCTGCACAACAGACATCTATATCAACCCTCCAGGGTCAGCGATGGCGCCATCCACTGACCTGCCAGCCTCGATTAGAGAAACTTCTTTGCGGTGTGCAGTGGATAATGTGCTCATGACTGTTCAAAGTGCTGAGAATAAGCGACTAAGTTCTCAGCTGCACAACAGACATCTATATCAACCCTCCAGGGTCAGGAACCATCACAGAAGAAAGGGAAGAAAGAATGTAGGGCTGCGAGATAGGAAAGAGTTCTGGAAAATGCTATCCTGTGGTCATGACATGGATGGTGCACACATGAACTCACAGCATTTATGGTTACCTGGGCAAAGACCAGCATCACTTTCCTTAAGGATCCACATGCAGGTTTACCAGTGAATATTACAGGCAAAAAAAGTCTGCTTATTAAGAAGAATTAAGAAATGTTTTGAAGCTTGAATGTTAATAAATCAATGTTTCCTATACATAATAGGGTTCCACCTAGAGTCAGCTGACTGAACATTATCTTGATGGCTCCAGATGACCTGCATCTGAGTCTGTTTCCATTGGTCAGACAAGTTAACTCACTGGGAACATTAAGTGGCTTCAGAAAGGACACCTGCCACCCGATTGTCAGGCTGGAGATAAAGGAGGGAAGTCCCTCACACAAAGCTATCTAGACCATGAGCCTTTCAGATCAGATTGAACTTGAATTGTGGGAAAGGTAACACTAGGCAAACTGCATAGCTCCTAACATTACCTGTGGCATACAGGGAGGCACAGCAAAGAAACTCATCAGCAGTTAGGCAACCAAAATAGCAGTATTATTACAAAACTTGATGATCAAAGACTGGAAATAACCTGTGTCAGCACTTACCAGGTTTGCTACCTACTGAGGACGAACCTTGTGTTCTGAGATGGCAAATGCAGCAGTTGGCTTGTGTGGAGTATGTGCCAGGCATGGCCCTCTGGGTAATTATTTAACTAGCACACAATGTGCTAACATGCTGGTCCTGTGTGCTACCCTGATAGGTGTAGAGACGTCACCTAAGTCAATAGCCAGCAGTTCATAAACGCTAAAGCCACAACTCGAATTCAGATCTATGACACTCAAATCCGTACTTTTAACCTTGAGGCCTGAAGAAGAGGTCTCCTCCCTGCGACACCCCCAAAAAATACCCACAGAAGGTACTGGAAAAGTCTTGACACATTGATGCATTCACTTCCTGGTGATGTGGGATCTGAGTTGAAATGTGGGGTGTGTGTGTGGCTGGGAAGGAGGCATGAGGGAAGCACACAGTCTCCACGTGGAGAGAAGTCTTAATGTCCTTATCACAGTTTGGGTCATGGTCAAGTTTAGGGAGTTTGGGCAGGTTTGTGATCACAGCTGTGGGCTGTGGTCCATGCAGTGCTGGACCAAGTAAGAGGACAGGCTGCTTCAGGGCACCGTGCAGTGGGACATGGAGGACAGGTGGTGTGTGAGGAGTTGATGGAACAGTGGTCATGATCCTGAGTAAAGCATCACTGTTTGAGGTCGATATTCCCCTTCCCGGCACTGACCGCTCCACCCTAACTTTCTGTCTTCCTAGGGTGACCGAGGAGCACCCGGGATCCCTGGTTCTCCTGGCAGCCGTGGTGACCCAGGCATTGGAGTTGCTGGCCCACCTGTGAGTCCTTATTCACCTAACACATGCGTGTTGCAGGCCATCCTGCAGTTCCCTGTGGGTTCATATGGGAAGACCCAGCTTGGGCTGTTGTAGGGACACATCCAGCGGATGTAGCAGTGGGTCATAGGTTCCTGGGATCTGTGCACATGGCTGGCATTGCTGTAAAATTTGGCATACTTCTAATGGGAATAAGAGTATGAATTTTTCGAAGGACCAAGGCATGATTTTGATTCAAAGCAAGCCAACGAGTCTCACCAAGTTTATTTACTCTTGCATGATTTCATTACATATATTATATACATAATGTACTTTGATCATATTTTACCCCATCATCCTCTCCTATCCCCTCCTCCTTCCACTGAACCCCTTCTTTCCAGCAAGCCCTTCTTCTGATTTCCTATGACTTTTGCCTGTGCCCTGCTGAACTCAATTATGGGTGCCTGTGTGAACACAGGCAGAGGCTTGTTGACTCTTTAATGATGGCAACTTACCAGTGGTTACCAGTGATGAATATGCTTCCCTCTCCCTAGCAACCATTAAGTCCCTATAGTTCCTCAGGAGGGGTGGGGCCTTACGAGTCCCTCCCCTTTCCATAAGACCTTGGTGATGGGCCCAGTGTTGGGTGGATCTTGTGTACATAGTGAGTTCACTGAATTTCCATTTTTTCCTCTCAATGTATATTTTTATTGAATTATGCATTTCATATAATGCATCTTAATCATATTTAGACCCCCTCCCCTGTCTGTTCCCCCCAAAGCCCTCCCCACCAGATTTCATGTACTCTGTCATATATATTAAGGCCTATCAAGTTAAGTTTGTGTCCCCAGATGTCCCTTGGTGTGAGTTCATCTGCTGGAGCCCATTCAAACACCCTGTCTACTGTCACTCCCTGAAAACCAGCTCTCCCTCACCCAGCAGTGATCATCTGACAATAGTTCCTCAATCAAATTTCTTTTAAAGGAAAAAATAAAAGCTCATGGACCAAACACCGAGAAATGAAATTATGCTAAGGAAGGAATCTGATACGGGAAAACATTATTTTATGTATTTCTGGCAAAAAAGCATGAGTTACCCTAATTCCTCCAATTAGTAAGGATGAGACCGTGACTAGAATCACGTCCACAAATGATCCTCCCGCTGTGAGTTTTAATGCATAGCTTGGCTCACCGCAGGCTTGTAAGACCACAGAGCTTGCTTGTGGCTTCCTCGCCTTCAAGTTAGATGGGCTGGTAAGGGTCTGTGAAGTCCAGGTCCTCATGGAGTGAAGGCTGGCCCTTACTGCCCTCAGCTAGAGCTAGCTTCCGCCTGAAGTACAAGGCACACTCTGAAGCCAGGACACATGGCTCTGCTGTTTCCCATAAAGAACTGAGATTTCTTTGAGGATGGAGTTGTGTTCTGTATATTTAACCTATTGCTTCTTAATCTTCCCTTTGGAGCACAGTGAATGTTCATGACCCCTCCACCCCTTTACTGAGTGATACGTTTCAGAATTTGAGGACTAACTGAATCTGAGGCTTTATCTTTTTTTGTCTAGTCTCTTTGTTGCCAAAGGCTGAATACTGATTTACCTTAAGTGGCATTTATTTTTTCTTAACATGTCTTACTCCTATTTAAAGGAAACTCAAATACTCCATTCTTTTCAAATGCCACTTCTAGGTCTTGGAATAGCCAAACTGCGTATATGTTACTGTGATTGCTTTAAGTCAAATGCCCAGTTGAACGAAAGCCTTGCAAAACATAACCTGGACAAAACCAGAACAGCATGGAGCCCAGCTTCTACTTTGTTCCACACTTAAGAAATGCAAACCACAGCCAAAAATATTATCAGTAACACTGTTTGTCATACAGAACTCTCAACAAAGACGGAGATCCAGTTCACTGCACATTATTGCTATAAAATGAGAGTCCTGGGCTTTTTGTCTGAGGTCTTCGTGTGTCTGAGTTACCGCAGGCCTTTCTCTCACAGTGCTCTTCTGTTCTGTCACTCCACTCTCAAGGAGCCCTCAGTGCTTCCCTACTGGACAAGAAGTTTCAGGGGCTCAGGGCCCTTCTAGGTGTCCATGGACACAGTGGAAGGAGAAATTGAAATCCCTTCGGGATTTCTTGTCCAGTTTCATTGTCTGCTGTTAAAGAAATTCCAGGCCAGAATTTCAGACAATGGAACCCCTGCATTACATTCGTTTTATTTGTTGTCTTGGACTATTTATTTTTAGCAACTAGGAGGAACCAAGGATGGAGTGAGGAGCTGTAGTCCGGGCTTCTCACTTCTGAAGTTCTCCTAGAAGCATCCATCTACTGGAGCTGGGAGTTTGATTCCTGGTGGACTCGACCCTTAGAATAAAGAAGACCAAGTGGAATTGTAGCCCATGATCAGGCAGTAGAGGTTGGCACAGTTCACTCAGCCTCCCACTTAAGAGCTAGCTAAAATCACCATGAAATATCTTCCTGCCTAAGTGATTCCGCCTGAAAAGTAATTGGTTGGCTGTAGCCAATAATAGGCTGTAAATCAACACTTTACAGTGTTCCTGCTGTTCGCACTTATTAAAAGCTTCCTGTTGGATGAAACCTTATTGCACTCCCATAAATCTCTTCAGCCAGCAGCCTAGGCTTGCTGAGGGCCTGGGAATCTACACAGGAGCTTCAAGGCACGCTGACAGAGGGTGTGTGGTGGAGTTGAGGAAGGGGTGCGTTCAGTCATTTGGGAGCCTGGCCCTTTTCTGAGCAGTCCAGTGTTCCTCTCTACTCCATGCTGGGGTACAAAGGACAGCATCCTGTACCTGGTCCTCAGGGAGTTGGATTTTCCTTCAAGGTGAAGGTGGGGAGCCCAAGCTCAAGGAGTTTATTTGGGAAAATACCCCTTAGAGAGTGACAAAGTGAGTCAGAGAAAGGAAGGGAGCCCAGATAGAAGTCGTAACGAGTGAGTGGGCACTGCGGCAGCTGACTTACTCCACAGAGACCGGAGTAACTACATGGTACAGACTCTGAGTCCTGCAAAAAGAAAGGGGAAGCTGGGAAACCGACGTATAAACACACTGCTAGAGGGCTGCTCTGACGGACTGTTAGCCTGTATGAGGGGCTGTTAGCCTGTATGAGGGACTGTTAGCCCTCTCTGAGGGACTGTTAGCCTGCTCTGAGGGGCTGTTAGCCTGTATGAGGGACTGGTAGCCTGCTATGAGGGACTGTTAGCCTGTAGGAGGGACTGTTAGCCTGTAGGAGGGACTGTTAGCCTGTAGGAGGGACTGTTAGCCTGTAGGAGGGACTGTTAGCCTGTAGGAGGGACTGTTAGCCTGTAGGAGGGACTGTTAGCCTGTAGGAGGGACTGTTAGCCTGTAGGAGGGACTGTTAGCCTGTAGGAGGGACTGTTAGCCTGCTCTGAGGGGCTGTTAGCCTGTATGAGGGACTGTTAGCCTGTATGAGGGGCTGTTAGCCTGCCCTGGGCTTGAGACCCACAAGTCTCTATGACTAAAGAAGCCCTGGGGCAGGAATACCTGCTGGTGTGTGTGTGTGTGTGTATGTATGTGTGTGTGTGTGTGTGTGTGTGTGCATGGGGAGAGAGAAGAGAGATAAATAATGCTTAGATGGCTTGAAAAACCAGAGGAAAATGTATTAGTTCAAAAGCCATGTATGTGTGTATGTGTGTGTATGTGTATGTATGCATGTGTATGTGTATGTGTATGTGTGTGTATGTGTATGTGTGTGTATGTGTGTATGTGTAGGACTGTTAGCCTGTATGAGGGGCTGTTAGCCTGCTATGAGGGACTGTTAGCCTGTATGAGGGACTGTTAGCCTAATATGTGTCTATGTATGTGTGTATGTGTGTGTGTCTCTGTGTGTATATGTATGTGTGTGTGGGGGGGCCTGTCTCCTATATCACTGTTCCTCAGATGATCCCTGGGCTTGAGACCTACAAGTCTCTGTGACTAAAGAAGCCCTGGGGCAGGAATACCTGCTGGTGTGTGTATGTGTGTATGTGTGTATACGTGTGTATGTATGTATGTATGTGTGTATGTGTGTGTATGTATGCATGTGTATGTGTATGTGTGTATGTTTGTGTATATGTGTATGTGTGTGTATGTGTATGTATGCGTGTGTATGTGTGTATGTGTGTATGTGTGTGTATGTATGCATGTGTATGTGTGTATGTATGTGTGTGTATGTGTGTATGTGTGTGTATGTGTGTATATGTGTGTATGTATGTGTGTGTATGTGTGTATATGTGTGTATGTATGTGTGTATGTGTGTGTGGGGGGGCCTGTCTCCTATATCACTGTTCCTCAGATGATCAACTTGAGGCTCAGAAGGTGTAGTGACCACGGTAGTGTCCCAGAGGTAGTCAGGGGTCAGGGCCAGGATGCAGATAGAGTTTCCATATCCTCCAAAGTGCCAGTTACCCCTGTGTCACTGTGCTTCCTGGTTGCAACAGGACAGACAGGACTTAATCATCCCTGTTAACTCTCTGCAGTTAAGGTCTGATAAGGGCACATTGAGCTGTCAGTTGTTGTCTGCCTCCTGCCTCCTGAGGTGTTCTAGGCCTTTATCATTCATAGGCAATGCTACATGTGTGTGTATGTATGCACGTGTATGTGTGTATGTGTGTGTATGTGTGTATATGTGTGTATGTATGTGTGTATGTGTGTGTGGGGGGGCCTGTCTCCTATATCACTGTTCCTCAGATGATCAACTTGAGGCTCAGAAGGTGTAGTGACCACGGTAGTGTCCCAGAGGTAGTCAGGGGTCAGGGCCAGGATGCAGATAGAGTTTCCATATCCTCCAAAGTGCCAGTTACCCCTGTGTCACTGTGCTTCCTGGTTGCAACAGGACAGACAGGACTTAATCATCCCTGTTAACTCTCTGCAGTTAAGGTCTGATAAGGGCACATTGAGCTGTCAGTTGTTGTCTGCCTCCTGCCTCCTGAGGTGTTCTAGGCCTTTATCATTCATAGGCAATGCTACCAGCCTCCCCAAAGGAGCCAGGAACTGGGTTTCCAATCTGTGCTCCAC